TGCGGTGGGTACCATTGGAAAGGGCCCGAAACGTGTTTCTCGTACCGCGCGAGCCGCTCGAGAGGCGATTGCGCAGCTGCTCGTGCCAATCGAGAACCTCTGGAAGCGGCTGCTGTCTGTTGCGATGGGGATTATCGTCTGCCAGGACCGTGTACTTAGCGGAAGCTGCGCGATCATCTACCCGATCCTCGAAACGCACCCACCTTTTTGGTTTGAGTTCGTCGAGAGCTTCGTGTCGACTTACCCTATGCACAAGCATCAGAAGATACGTGAGGCATTATCGCTCCTCACAAACGCCTCGGAATCATATGAAAAATTCTTCCTTGAAGTTTTTACGTTTCGCCAAATGATGCGGACTCTCTAATGGGAACAATCGTGAGGGTTTTAAACAAAGGGAGTAAAACCGACATCAGCCCCGGGGAACGGACATTGAAACGTAAGGGAAAGAAATTAAGTGACACGCACCTATATATACAGAGGTGCTTAGTCATATGAATTTTTCCTTCCGTATTCACCATCGAGATATATTTCTCGCATGCGTGAACTTCCACTGTTGCTGTCGCTTGTCTCGATTACATCTTGAACAATGTTGTGCGATGCTAAACTCGAAAAGGAACAAGGAAACCGTAGCAAAAGTTGAGGAGATCGTAAAAGAAAGTGATGCATATGTTTGGGTTTAATAAGTTACCCTTTGCTGAAGGAGTGAAGCAGAGGTTCCTTGCCCATTGCCGCCACTTTTACGACGTAACAAAATGTGGATCACATTCCTTTCTTGATCGCGTTGTGCCTAGGGTACTCAAGTATATATGAGAACCTTGCATTCGGAATGTTTGAGTTAAACACTTCACTCTGATACTCTAACGACTCCTATGGGGCTAAATCAGCCAATCTAGCATTTTAAGAGCAACATCCCTTCAACACTATTTATCCATATCCTTCTATTGGGGGACTATGGATACATGGGGGTATGTAGATGCGAATGATTCGGCCAACAGCCCTAATTGCACACTAACAACAGATCCCACAACCCCTTTAGAAGTCAATCTCGGAAACTAAGTCTTTTCCTCGATTATCTAGGTAATTCTCGCAAAGGACTTTATCTTTGATTAGAGAATTCTCACTTACGGTGACCTAACGGACGAGTTGTTCTTTCAGCAATGCATTTCCGATTTCAAGCGATGAAATCGACGAAGGTTATCGCTTTCATCTCACTTTTCGCTTGTACCACACAGAATGTGCACTTTATTTGGTGGTGTTTTTCCTTTGTAAAAAGTGTGCATTAGTACTCCGTCCGACGCACGACTTGGTGAAGCCCTGCCAACGATGACGTTTAGCTTATTTTCTTTGCGTTGGTTACGTAGGGCATTAACATGACAATGACGGGGAACTGGGGCGTCAAAACAGTGTTTCTGTGCGAAATCCAAATGCAAACCATTCGAAACGTTTTATTTTTGCCTTAATATCTGACATTAACATAGACGGCCAACGATTTTTCGCCGAAACATGTGATTCCAAACAAGCTTTATACACGTTATAGGATTCCTTTGATGACCATCTAAGCTTATTCCATCACCTCTATTCGTGTAACAGTACTATTAATGGCAAAACATGTGTCTTTGATAAAGTTTTTCGTACACCTCCTGTATTCCATTTTTGGTCCATGACCCTAAAGTGGATATTAACCCGCACGCACTCAGGTAATGCTGCGGTACTTGGAGTTTCACCCTGTGGAGGGGGGGGCTCCCTTTAGAGGGAGTAGAGGGAGGATCTACGTGGGCCGCTGGCCGACGCCGATACACCGCGCCGCGGGGACGAGCTCCGGGCGAGCCACGCCAAGGCTAAGGCTAGAGAAGGAAATAAGGACAAGTAAAGAGACAAGGAAAAAGACAGGGACAAAGGTAATGAAAACGACAAGGCAAAGGAAAGGGAAGGCAAGAAGGATAACATCGCGTCCACAGAGAATAAAGGGAAGGACCGGGAGAAAGCCAAAGGGTCGGCGTCGGAGGCCGACAAGGCGCCGCTTGAAGGTTTCCCCTGCGTGGCGCGCCGCTGGCGGAGCGGGCCTTGGCGGCTGTAAGGATCTTCGCTTGGGTGGTCCCTTATGAGTCTTTCCCGGTCTTTGTCATCAACCTGTTGCGGCACATCGGAAAGTCCACCTCGTACGCCGTGGAGGTGGGCAAAGGGAAGGCCAAGCCGAAGGATATGGCGTTGAAGGTCGAGACCACCTTGAGCACACGTTTCTGAATTCTCCTTTGATTTTCACTCAATTCTTCGAGATAAGTCTGAAAAGGAGCATGCCTTGATTGACACCTATGCCCATCGCATGAGCAACCTATACCCTGGGTTCGTAGGTTTGGATATAGCAAACGTGTGCAATGAGGCCACCATCCTGGCCTCCCGTGAAGACTCCACACACGTGGAGCTTTCCCATCTCGAGCGATCCATAGATCGCGTTCTCGCCGGCATCGAGCACCGAAGTCGGGTGCTTCCTTCTTTCGAAGAGAAGGTTGATGCGCACTACGAGTCCGAGCGCGCTGCAGCGGGCTGCTTTCTCAACCGCGCGAAAACACCTTTCGAATGAAAACAACATCCGAATCGCGAAGGAGATCCGCGATTCGTTGGGTGTTACGCTTAGGGGACGTGTTGCGGAGGAGATATTTTTCAACCACCTCTCCACCGGTGCCTCCAATGATCTACGCAAGGTGGCTAGACTTGCCTTCATGTACGTGGCAGCGTTTTCACCGGGACCAGGTGTATTCCTCGCCAGGCACTGTGAGCACCCGAATCACGAAGCCATTTGGAAGTAAGAAGTTGGATGAGTACGATAGGCAGGCCGAACAGCTGGTGGCCGAGGTCTAGCAGGAGACTTACAATCTGCTCTCAAAGCACAGGGTCGACATGGAAAAGCTCGCACAACATTAGCTAACCAAGGAGCTATTAACCCACCAAGATGTGCTAAACTACCTGGGAGAACGCCAAGCGCGCTCAAGCGGTAAAACAAAGGGGGTTTAAAAGCACTATTTTGATGGCTATTATTGTTATTGCTGCTGTTTGTGTTAATTTTGGTGTTGTCGACAGGGTGTGCTAAAGGATAGTTTCGATTGTCATGCTTTTGCTTTTGAAACTGGGATGCGCCTGAGGAGCATCGCGGTATATGTGCTTATTTGTTCTACAACGCGTTGATTCTAAACAAGAGCTACTTTGATATCGTCTTACATGTCTACTATAGAAGGTGGAGGTAGCCCAAGGAGCCTGACATATTTATTACAAAGGATTCCACCATTCACAATGAGGAATCCTCCCAACTTTTTATTTTGAATATGCTTTTGAATTATATTCTGTGTTTTATTTTCTGTCTCTCCGAATCTGGTTGTTTTAGGGCCTATCTGTCGGTAAGGCGTCTTTCTCCCTCATCCTTTCCCTTTTTTCTTTTGGACTCTTCTATGTTTTGTGTTCTTACCAGAATTGGTGGTCCATGAGAATGTTTAAAAAAAAATTCACTCGCATTCCATCGTGATTCTTTGCTGTTTATCTCTTCGTAGTAATGATGTTGGGAATGCAGTATATATTTTTATTGCTGCACTCCATGAAAGTATATGAATTGTTCGGCAACACTCTTTTTCTTTTCTCTGTTCTCTCTTTCCCATTCACTACTACGCTTTAAGGTCTTTGACCTGACTGCGTTTTTTCATATACACCTTTTAATCGTTTAAAGGTAAACAAGGGTAAGCAAGTTATCCTTGAAAATATTTACTATTCATTTGATCTTTCAGTTTTAATCGCTTCAATACTCCAAGTGGGCATTTCCTTTTACCTACCTCAATATACAGGTACCCTTTAACAAAAAACATTCTAGCTCAAATAACTAGAATGCATAACTATCTTTTGCAGAGTGCCCTACATGAAGCACATCAAATAGGAGTAACTTCCTTTCCTTCCTGGGAGCGGCCCGATAGCGTAGTTTTTAGCCAATCCTGCACCCCTCGAGAAAACAACCATGAACATGTTCTTCCCTGCCCCTCAGCGAGGCTTGCCGGGGGTGATTTTCGTATGGACTCACAGTTCCCATTCCAACAGCCCTTCACGAAAACGCGAGGTCTTTTTTCACGCTTGCCTCGAGAATATGATACGACGTCATTCGCTGCCACTGAAAAGGATACAAAAAATGGCAGCGACTGTGCGCAGGCAATTCCCACTGCCACCCCCACCACAAACTTCGCTATGGAAACGGCGCGTTCGACTTTCTGTGGCTCTCAGAACCCATTTTCCACCTCCGAAGGGGCTTGTTGTGTCGATGGGAGAGCATTTAATAGCAAAGCAGGCGGAAATAACACGGATACGCTCGTAGATCAAGATACTTCAACGTCCTTCTGTCATCTTACACCATGCACGACGCATTTTAATACCTCCTCAGCAGGTGGTGAGACGTCCGTTACGCACATCCCGCTAGGGCTCGTTTTTTCTGCCACAGAAGAGGCTTGTGTTGTCAAAAACGAATCCGTTGCATCTGGAAAAGATGCCGTAAACAGCCCAAAATGCCTGTGTATGGCATTTTCTTTTCATTCGGGAACGAATCTTGCGCAGGAATTCGAGGACGCCGCGTGTGGTTGCGCAGCAGACGAAAAAGACGATGAGGAGTCTGTCTGCTCTCGTACGCTGAACGCTACGCTTCGATTTCCACCCCGTGGCGAAGGCGAGATCCACTCAAGGGCTCCCGAATCCATATCTGCAACCTCTTCTTCCTCCTCCTTTTCTTCCACCCCCTCTTCGTTGTTATTGGTGATGCATACACCACTGGATAATATCCGCCGTAGCGACGCGACGACGGAATCTTGGAGACTGCAGCTGACGACGCCGCGAAAACCGTGGCGAAGATCGCAAAGCGACCTCCACTTCGAGAGGAAAAAACAGGAGGAGGAAGAGAATGTTCCATCAGGGTATCAAACCCCCACCCGACGTATTATGTTTGACGAAGAAGAAACCCTTTAGGGGCTAAGCTGGAAGGCAAGAAAAGTGCGGAATGTACAAAAAAAGGAGGAGGGAGAGTTTCGGAAAACTAATCGAACTTCTTCCTCCTTTGAGTTACTCTACACAACGGATGACCTTGTATGGGGAAAAAAACCATTTCTGTCATCAGGGTATGCAGTAGGTGTACTATAGAACGAATAAGAGCTTTATAGAAGGGAATAGGCGAATGCCTAACGTCAAGCGTTTTAAGCAGAATGGGGTGAGCATTCGATCCCAAGATGCAACCCTATATGGATGCTGAAGAGCTTGTTTTTTATAGATCGAAAATATATATGATTCTTTTATAGAGATAAAATAATAGACTAATCTTTTCGTCTATGCGTCCTCTTATATAATGTCCTGTAACCATTTACTTTTCTCAGTGCGAGAGGGGCTTTGCTTTCTCCATCTAAATATATATATATATATATATACATAAATTAGTTGTCTGTACTTAGTCTTGTTTTATTTTCTCTTTTGTACGCTGAATATGGTTGAATTTGAGCTACAATTTTCACGATGTAGAAACCAAGCATGCATGAATGATTTAAACCAGTCTCATATTAATATATATGTATATATTGTATCTTCTGAACATTGTCTTTCATAGAAAACACACACACACACACATATATATATATATATATATATGCATCTTTATGCATAACAAAAAAGGTTTATGAATGGATGTCAAACTACCGGTGTCAATCCGCTCTTAAACTCGTCGAATTAGATCATAAGTTTAAAATATTTTGCCGAAATGGCTGTCGAACCGTCGTCGATCTCGCCGCCGCTCCAGGGGGCTTCTCACAAGTTGCCCTGGAGGGGATGAATAAGTATCGCGATCGCCATCATCATCGCAATCTCGACCACTTATCCCCGCTAAAGCCGTTAGTGCTAGCGGTGGACTTGCGGCCAATCGAGCCGATCGCCGACGAGGTGCGTATTCTACGTTGCAACGTGTTGCATCATCGCGAGCTCATCCGGCAACTTCGGCCTTTTCTCAACCATTCAAATGCGAATCCTTATGCGGCCACAGAAGATATCGAGAGGGCTCGTTCGGTCACTCAGGCGCCGACTCCACGTGCGGTGGATGTGGTGTTGCATGACGGGGTATCCGTGGTCGCGGGGCAGCATGCCTTTTCCGTTACCTACGCACAAAATCAGATGGTGCTGAGCGCGCTTTTGTTTGCCTGCAAGGTTTTCTCGTTCTCGCCATTCGCTCCTTCCGCGCGGGAGACGGCGGAAGGGGATCGGCCGCGTTTCCGACCGCTCTCGGGTGGCGTTTTTGTTTCAAAGCTGATGCATTCGACGCACCTTCCGAAGGTACTGACGGCGACGCGTCGATTTTTCCGTCGGGTTCACCTTCATAAACCTTCCGCCTGCAGGGCGGAGAGTTTGGAAACCTACCTCATCGCGGAGGACTTTCTTCGCCCCCGATGGGAAACCTATTTGCGGGGTTTCACGTCGTTTCGAGGCGGCCGATCGGCGAATCCGTTCAGCCTCGCCCCGGATGTCGGAGATATTGCGAAGGGGATGGCTATTGTCTGGGTTTGTCTGGGATGCGGGCAAACTCGTACCTCCTGTGCGCCCTGCCCTACATGCATGGGGATGCGGTGAGTTGCCTGACGGATGGCAGGTGTTAGCTTTCTTTCATTCGGGTTGTTTTCTATCATTCACTGGAGTAAATGGAAGCAGAAACGGATTCGTAAAGCGCTATCCGCAAAACTATAATAATAATAATAAAGAATGCCACTCAGCCACAACTAACCCTCATGAAATTCTAGCGTATGTGAAGTATTCCCTCTATCTTGTTGTTCTTCTATTGCCCTCTTTTGCTTTGTAGATCTCTTTCCGTTTAATAGCTGCAGGGAGTAGCAGAACTAGCGTGGACGTGGTGACCTTTTGAACACACATGAGGCGGCTTCTACGAGGAGTGCAAGGGGTTATTTCCACGGCCCTCGTCGAGAGGTGTGCGGAGTTCCATAATAGTGAGATTGGGCGGGATGCTGCTTCTGAAAATAGCGGAGTTCTCCCCACGACCTCGAACTCCCCGCCGCAGGATCCTCAAAACTCAATACCATCCGCGGATGACACCGCGGCTTTGGAGGATCCCACCCTCTTCGTGAACCACTTCGCCACGTTTTTGAGGAGTAAACCGCGGGCTTTTGCGGACGGTGGAGGGGAGGGTTTCCCGGTTCCCGCTTTAAGGGCTTCCCGGTCATCCCTGAGGGGCCCCCATCCGGATTTTCCCCCCTCCCTAACCCGCTTTGCAGCCCTGCAAAAGCTCAGCGGTATTATCGAATCCCGCCAGGTCTCCCTCGTCGTGGCGACGCGGCTCGTGAAGCGGCCCTGGCCTCGCGCCCTCCTCGTGGATTCCTACAGCGCCTCCCAGTTCGATTTCATCGTCAAAAGCCTCAAGGTGTGGATCTCGGAGGAGCTACGGGGAGAGAAAATTTCCCCGAAGGATGCGCGCGCCATTCTAGGCAATACCCGACGGATTCTGCTCAAAGGGGAGTCTCTTTCGTTCGTTGGCGGGCTCGCGCGCGCGGCGATGGTGGATTTACCCTCGATCACAACACCGGATGCGATTATTTCGCTAATGGGGTCCGTCCACGGCGTCGGCGTGCACACTCCTGAGGAGTTTTGGCGACAAACCACCCAGCGACTGATGCAGCTGAACGACGAGCTGCGGGATCGGATGTCGGGCACGGTTGAGTCGTCTCCCGCCGCCGTTTTCCCCCCCACCGAGGCGTCAGGGGAGGGGAAGGAAGGGGAAGGGGAGGATCCTGGTGGATCGCGTCAATTCAAAGGGGGTTCCCGTCGTTCTTTGCCTGAGGTCGGGCACGTCTTTTCGGGGTTAACCACACGACAGATTTACCGTCTTTTGGAGGTGCTTCAGCGGGAAAAGTGGCGTGGTGAGGTCGCCGCGCTCCACCGCCTCGCCGATCAGGCGCTCAAAAACATCATCTTCGAAACCGAGGCGGTGAACCTCGACGACGCGGCGGCGAACCCGACGATGGCGGAGGTGGAGCACCGCGTCCGGCTCGTCTCCGATCTCAGCCTCGCCGAGTTCCTGCAGCTCCTGACGATCGCGGGGGAGCTCGGGGTCCGCTTTTCCATCTCCGCGGAGCGCCTTTCGCAGCACCTGCTCGCCCCGATCGGTGCCCCTTTGCGGATCCGACGCGGCTCC